TGCCAGGCTCCAGTGTATTCGCCTTTGCCTTGTGGACCCGTGCAAACACCGTGGCCATGCGCCTTTCCCTCCTCCCAGCCGCCGCAATACGTACCACCATCGTCAAAGTCGAATCTGCCGCCGTTCATCGCCGCATAAGCCGTGCACCGCGCCTCATAGTTGATTCCTGCAACACAGCTACTCGATCAACAAAATTACCAGCAATAACTCGTCATCTCGTCTTCAAACATCAGCAGGGTCTGACCATTCTTCGGTTTAATATACGAACAACAATGAATCTGTCAATAAAACTTCAAATTTCATGTTGTTGTTTCTAGTGACATTACATATTGTTATAAATCATTGATATAGCTTTCAACACAATCACAGTGGTGACAAGGTGCAGTTGTGGCACTGAGATAAGACGTATACGAAAGATCGAAGTACCTTAGAGTTTCGTTTCTTATTAAATTCTTCCCTTTACGATTACGGACTATGATTATTGTATGTATATTTATATGAACTCATGTCAAAAATGTACACATTTTACTAGTTAAGTGCGGTCACTGATGAAAGTTGAAGAGAGAGCGCTGGCTGTAACAGGCAGACCATTGGAGCAGATGTTTGAAGTGTCCTTTTTCGACTATATAAGCAGTCAAATTCTCTGCCAGACGAATAGCGTGCGGAAAATGTCAATTGCGATCATACGAGAAAGTAAAATTCGTTGGGCAGAGCATGTTGTACACCTTTTTGACAATTGCTGGAAGTCCTGTGCAGAAAAGTAAACGATAACTTTTGTAGCTACCGAAGGGGAGACGCAACTTTATCGAAAAGACAATGAGCACTAAATGTAGGTATGTAACTCAGAACTATAAGTAGGGGATAGCTGCATCCGACATGCAGAAGTATTTCTGTAACATCACTAGCATGGGATTCGTATTTTGATTGTCTGGGCAGCCTTGAATGATGAGGAAAAATGTGAGAAATTATTCAAAAAAGCATTACAAAATATTCCCGATGGATAGAACCAAATCAGTACAGAAAGATAAAAACACCCAATGCAAAACTTTACGTCTGCTTTAAC